GTACATCTAAAACATAAATTAATCATCACAACACCCCTTTTACCTTGAACGACCTTGGTAAGTTATGACTACTTAATTTTTTTATTTTTTTATCAAATGACCTTGTGTTGTGTGTCTGTTTTCCTATTAAGGTGTTTGTATGTCTATCAGGCAATATATATATATATATATATATATATATATATATATATATATATATATATATATATAACATGAGTCATTGTTTAAATTTGAAATAATATTTAATTCCATTCCTATTCTTGTATCCAAGTTGAATTATGCAAGTAAGATAATCTATTATGTCATTGAATAAACATAAAAATAAAGTTTCACTGGTTGAAATCATGAGTCAGTTGAAGCTAGACCACCATGACAAACCTGGAAGTACTGGACGGCCGTTTCGTTCTGGTGTGGGACTCCTCAACAGTGCGCATCCACGACCCCGCTCCCCGCCAGATTCGAATCCAGGACCTATCAGTTTCGCGCCAAGCGCTTAACCAACTAAACCACTGAGCCGGTTTCCAACGGTGTTAATGTCTAACTTTAACCAATAAAGAGAATTAAGAGCAAGAAAGTTTATCCCTTCTCGATGAAATGATTTACTTAAGCTGTACATTCATATTTGTAGTTATGTAGTAAATAGATAGAAAAGATTGTATTATAAGTATGTTAAGGATAAACTTCCGTTTTGGGTCACATCACTATGCATCTATAAATGTATTTGTTCATATGGGGCAGGTTACATTGTACGCACAAAGAGATCACTTTCTGAACGCATCTCAGAACATTATCCGGCATAGCTTTAATAAGGAGTATGTAAAACAATTACTAGTTCAATACAGGAGCATTTAATCAACTATGAACCTATTGCTCCAAAGGAGTTTTCTTTTAAAATAATCGGAGGTCGAATCAAAATCTTATGCATTGATGAGGTATTCGTAATCCATCAACTTAAGCATGAACTTTATGTGAAAGAAAAACGATACGTCCAACCTGTCATCCGCTCTTGGCCCTAATCCCTTTTTATAGTATGTTCCTTTTTTTCATTTTATTATTATTATTATTGATTCTTCTAAATTAGTGTTTTGTAATTTTAAACTGTAATCAGCTATTATTATTGCCCTTAAACAAGTTTTCTTGATTATTATTTCAATTTTTGTTGTTATGACCTTTATGTTTTGCGTGTTTCTTCTTCTTCATATCTGTTAAGCGAAGAATTCAGTCTTGTAAATTATTTCCATCCTTATCTTCTTTTGTTACTCCTTGATTATTGATAATAAGAGTCTCCAATCAATCTATGATGTATCATTCTCTATCCTTCTATAGACACATATAATTCCCATGTAACTATAAACACGAATGTACAGCTTAAGTGAATGATTTTGACGAGAAGAGAAAACTTTCTTCCCTTTAGTTATTTTTTTCTGGTTAGCGTTTTTTTAGCGATTTAGTTTTGTACAGGGTGGGGTCGCTAACCCCATGCCCAACCCTACTCGTTTATCCGGGTTTTGGACCGGTAATAACCCTAGAGGAGTTCCGGGTGGAGTTGAATTCTCTTTAAGATATACATATTTGTTTCTCTAAAAAAAAGAGAATCTTATTTCATATTTCTTGGATATAAATTTTCAATAATTGTTTGACATCTTTGTTACATGGATACGTTCCAATGTTTATCTGTATATCTGTGTATGTGCGTGCTTTTGTTTCTAAGTAGTAGCATTCAGATGGAATTTATAATTACTAGAATAAATTTGACTTTCTATTGGAACATGACAGAAGAGTATGAATAAACTGACTAATTTTACTGTCGAATGTAATGTATAGGGTTTACAGAGAATCTATGCAAAAATTGAAAGTTCTCCAAGAACAGAAATTCAAGCTGACGATTGAATAAACTTTGAACTTTGTATACAAATGAAATATAAGTGAGATGATAGTTTACTTAACAAATCATCTAAATTTCAGATAACACCTTTTGGATATTTGGCGTTAAATTCATTCATTCATAAGGCTAAATAGAAATCTGGTATTATAGTTGATGCTAGTTCATGATAATGCCTAATTCCAATTCTGAATCCTAATTCCTTACAGTAAATAATGATCATATTTTAAACTTAATAATTAGCTGAAATTTCTTTAGATTGTTTTAGTATCACTTAAAAGTAATTCTGAAATCATAGTTTCATTGAAATATGTCTTTTTTATTGTCTTAAACTTAATCATAATTTACCCCTATATGCCCTGGTACGGTCGAGAGTAGATAGTGTCAGCTCTCCCTCTCCAAATGTTTTCACATGTATACAGCCACTGGCAGAGAAGTCTTACTGAATACTATTTATGGAATTGAGAGGATGAAAAGCGAATATTCAACGCTTTAACTGGGTCGAAGAACACAGAGAGTTCACCTGGGAAAGTTGGAAAACCTTCATTCCAAACCAATGGTGCACATGAGATCCAGTATCCTAAGGAAACAAATAACCTATGAACCAATTTTTAGTCACCGGCTATCATGGGACTGCATCTCCTGACGCTGTTCTACTGCCTTGTGGATCAGACCTTTAGGTCGAAGGCTTCGGGTGTGGTCCCCTAATTGAACCACTCGTTTCTGTTTGCGCATCCGGGGAGTATCCCAGCTTTCACATAAATCGAATGATTTATGTGGCGCATGCCTATTTGGTGCTTCATAGTACTAATGTTTATGTGTTTACATAAGTAAATAAATTCACTACAATGTCTTCACTTAAACCATGAGATTAAAATTACTTTATACGTTTCTTTCTAATTCTTTTTTCCTGTACTATATCCTTATACACAATCCCTCTTTTATTGATGATTACCATTGAAGTGACTACTTCTATGAATTCGGTGTTCATCTTGTTGTGCTAATGAGGTGTCGCAACTTGGATCGATGCATATATGTACCTGGTCCTACGTTGTAGATGACTGACTGACTGACTTACATAATATTTAAAAACAATTTTGAATTACTTATTTGATTTCAATTAAATACGTGATACTAAACTTTTAAAGTTCAAGGTTAATCGATTCATATTCTATGGAATAAAAAGACGAAGATTATCAGAAGTATGAATATAGTACTTTGGTTCATTAAATAAGATTATCAGAATATTATGTTATTAGAGATCGTGGAAATTGTTGAATTTTGCAAATTTCCATCATTAACTGCCTTAAGTTAGATAACTGATAAAAATTAAGTAACATTAGAAATCTAATTTGTCTAAGTATGAGATTCCAGATAAATGGGGTTTCACTGTCATTAAGTAGTGTCAAATTACGGAAATTACAACAATCTATGTTATAAATTATCAAATGGTTACTGAGAGCTCATTTTGTGGAGCAGTTTTAATAAGAATAATTTTATTAGGCGTCAAATAGTATTGTCAACGGTAATGTGTGAGAACTTCTACTGTAGCTGTTCTAGGGTTATTTCCGACCTGAAGACCGAGTGAAGGAGGAGGGTTGGGCGTGAGGTCAGCGACCCCATCCCGTAGAAAACAACTTTGTTATGAAAATAAAACGCTAGCCAGGATAAAAGAAAGTGATTAATGTGTGATACTTTTACAATATCGTCAATCAATTGAAGTAGTGTGTAACATCAGATGCCAACCCAGTGATTAACTACAAGATCCGTTTTGAATTTCTGACGAGGTCGTTGGTATGAACTGTTGGAGAGTGCCACATTGAACTGAAACGAATATTTGTTTTTCAAAAAATACATTCCAGGTGAGACCTATCCATGACGAATAAAAGATAGATTTGTCGCTAATAAATATTTGGGTGAGACTGTAATTGATGGACGACCTTTGAGCGACGTTAGACTGACCTTGAGAGTGTCCATCTAATAACTAGGACCAAATGGGGGTTGTAAACCAATGTGAGAAATTAGAATAATGAATTACAGTTGATGGTTAAAGTTAGGAATTAGATTTAGGGTTTGCTTCACGAACTGACATTAACTACAATGCCAAGACTCTATTTAGCCAAATTGATGAATGAATTTCACGCCAAAATCCGAGATCTGTTATCTTATACCTGATTAGTTCGTTTATAAATTATAGTTTCGCCATAATAATAATAACAGGGAGTATCGACGATAACAAACACTTAAGCTCAGTACAGCAAATCAATCAAATTAACACCTATTGCATCATACTGATATAAAATCAACAAATTAATCACATACAACTTTAAACCCAGTCACAATAATAAGTGGAATTGACTCGAAACACCACCACCAGCTCCACCACCGCTACCACAAATAAAAACAATCAATCATAGTTACAATCAGCACAACACATTGTTTACATTAGCCGGTAAAGGAAACTGTATCATCAAATATTAGATAAATCAATAAAGCAAGACAACATCAATAGTATCAATCAAACATCAACTACATAAACCAACATCATGTGAAAATATTATTTGTTTCATACACATAGATCCCTTTATTATCTTAAAGAGAGCAAGAACTAAGAACTCATAAGTTCTAATCACTATTTGAATGTTCCGGAACTTTCCCTTTCAAACTTTATTTATTCGAGGCAAACTTTTATGATCTCATTAACTCTATCGGAATCTTTGCTGCATCCTGATACACATATATCCATCCATTAATCACCCTCTTATGTATAAGTACGTCAATAACTGTAATAACGTTGTCTTTCAAATATTTTAGGTTGTAAGCAACTGATGAGAACCTAATGAAATAAAATGAATCCATTTATTATTCTGTATCAATCTTTGTTCTTGTTCTCTTTATTATTTATTTGTTTGTTTATTTGTTGTTTTTAACTTCTTCATAATGTACAAAGTGTCAGTATACACATCGGCTAATTAACGATTTATCTTAAAAGTACATTTTTATTAAATGTACACTGTTACTATGTCATTAAGAAATAAACGTTGCTTATTTTCATTAATATACACTAACAACAAAGTTGTTTCATATTTAATCGGTTCATTATAACACAAATTCACACATTGATAATGCTATATCGATTCAGAATAAAATGGATATTATTTATAAGAAAAAAAATGAAACAAATGAAATGTCAAGCATTCAGTCATTACTAACCATATCAAATTGATTGAACAACAAATTTTCAACACTGAATCAATCATCATTCACTTCTATTCACTTTACACTGCTGCAATTTGGAAGACTCTCCTAGTCTCCTACATTGTACGAACATTCCATGGACCTAAATAAACGGTTGCTCTGGTTGCCAGAAGGAGCATCAACCTCGTGACTTCCGAAGGAACTCGACTTTCATCATGAGGCATCATAACTCTTCTAAATGAAGACCTTCTGACTCCCAGGTTAGAGTTTGAATGGCTTGAATAATTTTTTCTGGTTAGCGTTTTTTTAGCGAGTTAGTTTTCTACAGGATGAGGTCGCTAACCCCATGCCCAATCCTCCTTCTTTATCCGCGCTTGGGACCGACAGTAGCCTCCGGAGGGACTCCAGGCGGAGTTATTCATTTCACACTACATTGTTCTATATACATTCCCTAGCTTATTCTCTCTTTCTTTCCCTCTCATATGAAATACAGTGAATATGAAAATTACTTCATTAAATTCATTTTGTTACCATTGCATACTTAAATATTGTTTATGTTAATATAGTTGTGCAATTCATGTGACAAATGATTTAACTTTGTACTTTCTCCTATTACTTATTGAAATAATCATCATATATGAAAGATTCATTGATCATATGATTGAGTAACTGACATACTCAGATAAATACTGTTTCAAGTATAAGTACAAGTTAATAAAGCAGCTAAGAGTTAGGCAAGTTTATTACTAAAATATACTTTTAAAAGTAAACTGTTCTAAACTATAAACATACATGATGATAGGATCGTTGTTGTTCAGTGAGTTTAACTATTTGTATCAATTCAAGATAATAACTAAGCGCCCAAACCAAAACGTGGCATCATTCCTTGGAATCACTAACTTCTAGTCTGAGCCATGTTGGGAGATGCAGACTCCTTGATTGGGGTCCGCGTGACTATCGTAACCAATGGTTGGAGATTCTTGGTGACATGGCTCACAATCGATCACAATGGCGTGGGTGTATACACTCTTTGTCTTCCCTTAAACTAAGAGATTAAAATCGCTTCATATCTTTCTTTCTACGAACTAATTCTTTCTTCCTGTACTATATCCTTATATGCAATCATTCTTTTATATATTACCACCTCTGAATTAACTACTTCTATGAATCCGGTGTTCATCTTGTTGTGTTAATGAGGTAATGGCAAGCTGGACCGATGCATATATGTGCCTGGTCCTACCTTGTAGCTGACTGACTGACTGATATTCATCTTCAGTTGATACTATATAGATAATTGATTTAATGTCAAATGTTACAATTAAAAGTGTTTCTTACTAGTATGAAATTTGTAATCTGTTAATAGCTATAATCCTAAGAAATAATAGACCTTGGATAACTGGGAGTTGCGGTTAATCTTTGGACCACTAAATTAGAAGCTTACAATCAGTATTTCAACTTTAATTAACTCATGATATGAATCGATAAACATCAAATACCATCAAAGACGGTTTTCTCACTCGGTACATGGGATAAGTCATTTGAAGTGAAGGAAACCATCTCGTAGTAATTCACTAACAAAACAAGTATTATATCTTGATTAGTATAGGGTTTGTGGAGATTGTTGAGTTTTAGGTGAGATCATGAACCGATCAGTGTTAGACCATCGTTGAAGATCTGGATACACTGGATGGCAGTTTGATCCTAGTATCGAACTCCTTGACGGTGCGCACCCACGATTCCGTATGCGCGACCTGAATCTATTTTTACATTTTGGTTGTTAGGTTTTGTGGTACCTTAAGTGATGTGAAACTCACGATGAAAATCATCTTTGAATTAAAATGATTACTCCAACAACTATCAAGTAAAATATGAGAAGTTTTCAAATTTGCATGATGTCAATTTAGTGGTCACAATCAACACAACATATATCAGTATGATGTAACTGGTGTTAATTTAATTGTTTTTTGTGGTTTCTGTCACTGTTTGCTGTTGTTAATATTCTATGTAATTATGATTGATAATTCAATTGTGGGTACTTCCACTAACTTTCATTTCAGTGAACATGTTATTTTCAGAAGGGGTTTTGTGGAGATTTTAGAAAATCCATTGATTGAAATCATGAGTCAATTGAAGCTAAACCGCCATGGAAAACCTGGAAGCACAGGACGGCCGTTTCGTCCTATTGTGGGACTCAGCAGTGTGCATCCACGATCCCGCACCCAGCGAGATTCGAACCCAGGACCTAACAGTCTCGTGCCAGGCGTGGATGCGCACTGCTGAGGAGTCTCATACTAGGACGAAACGGCCGTTTAGTGCTTCCAGATTTTCCATGGTGGTCTAGCTTCAATTGACTCATGATTTCAATCAGTGGAACATGTTATTTGTTTACTTGGATGAAGGTTCTTCATGGTATTGGTCACATATCGAACATTAGCTGAGAATGTCTTAAACACATAATATAAACGAATGTAAGTGTTAAATGAAGGTATTGTTATTTCTTTCTCAGTTACCAGAAGAAATATTTTTCATAATTGTTCATTGTTAATATTTCATGAAACGCTTTTCTTTTAAATAGATATTTCAGGTTTGTCCTATTCACAAGGTTCATTTTTAAGAGAAGGTGCTCTGTCTCATTGAGAGCTTCATCCATGTTCAAAACTGCTTCTTGTATATTTACATCTGCTAATGGGGTATGGAAAATTGAACCGATGTACATACGTACAGATTCTTCGTTGTGAGTTTCTAACTGATTGACTGACATGTAAATTTATATATATGGATATAGATACGGATATGTATCCCTACATGCTCAAATAGTCAAGAGGGAGGCTGTGACAAACATACATTATCTCAATTGTTTTATAACTTCAGCTCTTCAATACGAAATCAACAAGATTATTTGTAGATATACCAAAGTTATGTTAGGATTATTTTTTCCGGGAATGATCAAATACTGGAGATTATTTTACAGATAGAAGGATTAAATTCGTGGAATAAAATGTGGTAAGTAAAATGGTAGCTCAAAACTACAAAAGATACATCACTGAAGAAATTGATAAATATAACTCAAACTACTTAATTTTAGTAAGTAAAATATTCCGTTTATACAAAAAACAGGAGATTCGAAGAAAACAGTTAATTCAGTCAGTTTTTGTGACATGGTACATAATTGAAATCAGCTATGATACTAATCAAGTCCATTACAGCCAGCCAATCAATCAAGATTTTACGAACACGAACCTGAAGGGACACTTGGATATAAAAAACAGGAAAGTAGTTACATCAGTGACTAGTAAGAAACCTCTTCCTGAAGCTGCAATTCAACGGAGATATAGTTTGTATACACTACAGGATAGACTGAATAGAGCAGCGAAGAGAAGGTTTAATGTAGCTAACCTCTTTCTAGCTTTCTCGGTCTGATCTATAGCGATTTTTCAACTAGGGGATAAGTTGCCTGGTACTTCCACATCTATGAATATCTACGAATTCAGCTGCTGTAGAGAAAACTATATTGGGTGCACTGCCAGACAGCTGAGCTAACAAGTTAGTAAGCACCTCCTTTCATGGTTAGGAAAGGGTACCATCAAGGCAAAACTCATATCTGTCCTATCACGCTTGATCGATATCGGTCATGTATTAGACAGAAATATGTCATTTAAAGTAATCTATTGTATTTCTACTAGTTTACCACACGAGGTTCGATTTCGTGTCTTACACATTGCAGAAGCTGTAGGAATTCAAGCCAACAATCCAAGTCTTCGTATTTATAAGAGATTTTTAACAACTTTATCTTTTCCTTGACCCTAATAAATGATTTTATTTATTATTATTTTCCATACTCTTTTTTCTTCACCCCCTCTCACCTATTTTTTCCCATATATATGCTTCATTGTCCAATTATATGAACGCTTCTTATTACATAATCTTATAGTTTTTATGAAGGTTATTTTAGCATCTGTATTTTTTCAAACATGGATTGGAGCCTTTATTATTCCCATAAAATATTATCCCTTTGTCATCAAATAATCAATTTGTACCTTCTACTTATTGTTTATTTATGTAATCTATTTCACTGTTATCAGTGGCTCATAAACTGCCTGTTATATCTAGAGCTTAGATCCTTGATATACCGCGTACAACTTGAGAACTCGAACACTAGAACACTCCAAGTCACGAAAACGAAGAGAGAAGACGAGTGAGAGGGAATGCTATTCCAAACTCAAACAGTGTTATGTATGGTATAAAAATCTTAGGTATTTATGGTTTTTAGTAAAATCAAAATCACCATTACACTTATACAATCCGCATACAGTGGTTTTTAGAATTTGTTCAATAGGGAAGCTACATGTACCTGGGAAGCATAGTCGATGAACAAGGAAGATCGGATGCAGATGTAAAGGCGAGGATTGGCAAAACAATGACAGCATTCCTACAGTTAAAGAATATATGGAACTCAAAACAGATGTCTGTCAACCAATATCAAAGTCACAATCTTCAGTAAGAACGTCAAGACATTTCTATTATACAGAGCTGGAACTTCGTGAACAAGTACAACCATCATCAAAACAGTACAATTATTTATAAATAGTTGTCTATGCAAGATAATCAACATCCATCGGCCGGATATCATCAGCAACAGCCTTGTGTGGGAAAGAAAAAACCAGCTCCCAACTGAAGAGGAAAGTAGGAAAAGATGTTGGAAGTGAATAGGACATACATTACGCAAATCATCAAACTGCATCACGAGGCAAGCTCTAACTTTAAATCCTGAAAGGAAGCGGAAAAGTGGAAGGCCAAACAGACGTGGAAACAATGAGTAGCAACTGTAAAAGATTGCTCAGGACAGTGTTGGATGGAGAATGCTTGTGTTCGGCCTATGCTGCTCCATGAGTAGTAACAGAAGTAAGTAAGTAATCATAACTTTATCTCTCTATGATACGGTAAGTATTTTACTACGAAACTAAAGGATTGAATTTAATCATAAAGTACAGTCCCAACAGTTAAGATCACGAGTCAATTGGGGCTAGACGACCATGGGAAACCTGGAGTCACCGGACGGACGTTTCGGTCCTGCCATGGGACCCAGCAATGAGCACCCACGACCCCCCCTCGCGGGATCCGAACTAGGGACCTGCCAGCCCCGGGCCATGCGCTTAGCCAACTAGACCACTTAGCCAGATTCCAGCGGTGTTAATGTCTAACTTCAACTAATCCACGAAATTGAGCGACACATCCGCTATTGTCATCAGTGAGTTACTACCTCACAACTGACCCGGTTGAACTCCATTGGTCACTTCTTCTCACTAGAACTCCAGAATATATCTATTGAAGCCAGTCACTAATGAGCATATGTTGATTAATGTCAGTAGGGGTTTTGTAGATATTATAGTAATTCCAACTGATAGGTCGCGGGTTCGAGTGCCGCGAGGCGGGGTCGTGGATGCACACGGCTCAGGAGTTCTACAATAGGACGAAACGGCTGCCAAGTGCTTCCAGGTTTTCCATGATGGTCTAGATTCAATTGACTCATGATCTCAACTGTTGAAATTACTACAATCTCCCCCAAAACCCTTCTGATATAAAGTATAGATTCTTTGGTCGATTTCCAACATTTCCACATATTAAATATTAATAGATTATCCATATTCATTTTCATAATTTAGAAAGAATATTCATCAAATGTTTCTCATCAACCCAGTACAATGAACAACTCTATCAAAGTATCACGAAAATCCTATGATTCTCTTCAATCATCATCATCATCATCATTATCAAATAAGCCAAAATTATCCCAAAAAGAAATTAATAAAATTATTGAACGTTTAACAAAATATGATGAAACAACTGGACCGCCTGAATCAAATAATGCAAAAATCTATTTAGGATATGGAAGATATGAATATCCACATAGAAAATATACAAGTAAAGTATTTAAACATTTAACTAGAACAGAGGTAAGATCATTGGGAATATTAATTATTTCTTCCGTAGTGCAGAAATAATACTAAAACAAAATGGGGGGGAGAATTTTTTTAGGGTGGTTCATAATTTTGAGCTCGGGGGGGGGGGCTATCTAATCAAAGAATTTGAAATAGGACCTTATTGTTGATCAGATGATAGACTTAGTTAATGTAAATGGTTGTCTTATGGTTATTATTTAGAATCATCTCAATTAACATTCGGTTGTCTTTTCTCCATACAGATAAACCTAAGACTCTGTAATGCTCTCGAGTTCAGGTCGTTGCGTAGTTCCAGCTTGCGGATTACCAGAACAGCTTAAGATCCGAATAAAGCGTACGAATTAAGAAGACGTATCAAAGAGGAACATGAATATGCATAGTGCAGTTACTTAACAATTACACAATAAGAATATATGTATAGTTAATTACTTACTTACTTACGCACATTAATCCTAATGGAACATAGGCCGCCGACCAGACCGGCCTCCTTTTCTAATTCCATCCAATTCTTGTTCATTTTTCTCATGTCTATCTCCATTTCCCGGCGTAATGTGTTCTTTGGTCTTCCTCTTTTCCTTTGGCCTTGACTACTCCATGTGAGGGCTTGTCGTGTGACGCAGTTGGGTGCTTTCCTCAATGTGTGCTCTATCCACTTCCAGCACTTCTTCCTGAGTTCGTTCTCCGCTGGAATCTGGTTTGTTCTCTCCCATAGTAGGTTGTTGCTAATAGTGTCCAGCCAACGGATCCGAAGTATTTTGCGTAGTCAGTCTGGTTGATGAATTTCGTAGTTCTAAAAGTTTCCATTCTATACAGTAGAACTGTCTTCACATTTGTATTGAAAATTCTGACATTGGTGTTGGTTGACAGTCAATTGTTTTGATTTCCAGATATTCTTCTATTGTAAATATTCTGCTCTTGCTTTTCCGATCCTCACCTTCACATCTGTATCAGATCCACCGTGTTCATCAATGACGCTGCCCATATATGTGAAGGTTTTCACATCTTCCAAATCTTCTCAGTCAATTGTGATTGGATTTGTGCATGCTGTGTTGTATCGGAGAATCTTGCGTTTCCCTTTGTGTATATTGAGACCTACTGCTGCTTAGACTGCTGATACACTGGTCGTCTTCTCCTGCGTTTGTTGTTGCGTTTGGGATAGAAGGGCCAGATTATCTGCGAAGTCCAGATCGTCCAACTGCATCCTAGATGTCCATTGTATCTGGTGTTTCCCTTCAGATGTTCACGTCTTCATGATCCAGTCGATTAACAAAAGAAAGAGAAAGGGTGATAGTAAGCAATCTTGTCTGACACCGGTCTTTACCTCGAACGAGTTTGTCAACTGTCCTCCATGCACAATTTTGCAGTTTAATCCATCATAGGAATTCCGTATGATATTGACTATTTTTTGAGGCACACCATAGTATCGAATATATGTATAGTATTAGTCTATAAATGGATCCTTACAGTTACCATTCAATATTCTCGTCGAGATATAACAACCTAAACTCTCCTTCGAAATCGGTTAATATTTTCATTGAATTAGAACAATGTTCTAACAATGTCCAATCTTTCTGATTATCATTGATATTAGTATTAGTTCAATAAACTTACTATTGATTTTACGAATTTCAGCTTATTTCACTCTTTTTGTAATATGGTATCTTAGATTGACATAGAGTTACACTATGCTATACTTTAACTATGATTAACTTATTAATTTGTAATGAAATAATCGACTTTAAACAAGATCAACAACAACCAATCAACATTGAGGTCTACAGGACAAGTTGTGAATCACATATGGAGAAATTCGAACACTTCACTTCTATCTGAAGTTTGTGCTGATGATTTCGTTCAGAAGAACGATGAAAGCTTCACGATCAAACTATCCAGTTTAGAGAACAAACTCCATCAAAATCATCCACCTGAGCTATAAATTTTCTGCACCATGTTATGGTTTATTTTAAATCACGAACTGATACAAGCTAAAATGCTAAAACTTTATTTAGACAAATAAGTGAATGAAGTTCGCTTAAAATTCCAATACCTGATATTCTAAATCTGATTGGTTTATTCACAAATTATAGTTTCGCAATGGAATCATTTAGACAAACAGTAATCAATGTTATCGGTATAGGGGTATTGGGAACGTTAGATTCCCAGAACTCACTTGGGAAAGGACCTAATTTTGTAATTTTATTTAGAAAATTTGAATTTCTTTGTTTTCGCGCCAAAGACACTCTTGTCACCTTCATGTCGTATTTCCCACTGGGAAATATCTTAAATGTTATTGACCCGTTGCGTCTTTTAGTATGCTATTTGGTAATTGAATTGTGTTTATTGTGATCGCTTGTTTCTGGCTGTTTACAGAATATACTTTCCCATTCCAAGCTTGGGCTTCTCCCTCTAGTTAGAGAGGCTGGGACGCATCAATAACTAGCATACTGGTCTTTGGTCACCGAGTCTTTTTCTCGTTCACAGATTAAGTGAATTGATGATAGCTTCAACTCTAGCAAAAGGTTGTGGAGATGATTAAGTTTTTGATTGAGATCATGAACCGATTAATGTTAGACCTCCCCCCCAATTGATATGATGGCATTTTTCATCTCTAATAATATCTATCTACCAATCTATTCATTTTGTTTATTAGATAGATGATTTAATTGAAAGATTAACTAATGAAAAATTACCAAACCTTCCAAGTACTAACTCCTTTACAAATCCTATGTCATATATGAAATGTAATGCTAATAAATTACAAGAAATTATTGAACATTTAACAAGTGATAATTCATCTAAACTTCCTATAGAATCAACATTAGCTAGAAAATATCTTGGTTTTAATCGTTATGATTATGGTTGTTCATTAGATAGTCAAATTAAACCAATAATGAAAAAATTAACTAAAGAAGAAATTCATCATTTAATTGAACGTTTAACACAATATGATATTAATAAATATCCACCAGAATCTAATGGACATATGATTAAGAAATAATGAAAAGAAAGATTATTTGTTTAGTCACTAACTTAGTTATATACTACTCAATTGTAATACACAATCATTCTATCACTGTTTGTTTTATTTATAAATAAAAAATGGTTTTGTTATGACTTTTGTGTTCGGCTAGTTATCATGTGATTTATCCATCAATCAAAATACGACTTATACAATCTTGGCACTATGTCAAACCAATGACGTTCGACTGGTATGAGCAGCCAAGCGTCCTTATTGGTCCTATGTCCGCTTAACCCGTTCACTTGAGACCAGAACACCAAATACCAGCTTCCACTATACCAATCGAATCATTTATTTCAGACATACTGGGTTTATATGTCACCTAAACAGACCGCAACTCACCATAAAATAGGAAATAATATTTGTACACAATGAAGCCAAAAACTGGCTGTGAACGTGGGAGGCAGTAGTCAATGAACTGAACATAGCATAAGAACCATAAATTGTACAATAATAATATATAGATCAAAATAAAGCTTATAATAAGAGAAATATAAATATACATAATCTAATTATTGAATAGTTATACCATAAGAATATATATATATAGAATATTAGTCCATTAATAGGTCTCAGAAGTTAATCGTGATTTAATCTTCGCTCGGATATAACAGATTATTATTGTAGTATTGTTATATTTCATAGTTAGATATGGTTGCCCCTAAATGTCTTGGTACGGTTGAGAGTGGGAAGAGTCTGCTCTCCCTTTCCAAATGCTCTCAGATGATCACATGTATACAGACACTGACAAGGAAATCCTATTCATTGCTTTCTCGTGATACGGCTGATGTTTAAGAAATTGAGAGAATGAAAAGCGAATATCGGGCAGTTTAATCGGATTGTTGAATATTCAGGATCCATCTAGGGGAGTTGGAAAAACCTGATTTCAAACCAAATAGTACACATGAGCTCCAGAAACCTGGGGGAAAAATGGCGTATGAACCTCTTGTTGGTCATCGGCTACCATAGGACTGCATCTCTTTATGTGGTTCAACTGACTTGTGGATCAGACCTTTAGGTCGAAGACTTTGATTGTGACCTCCTATGAAAATCGCTTGCTTCGGTCTGGGCATCCGGGCAGTATCACAGCCTACATACAAATTAAGCTATTTATGTGGTGCATAGGTATTCGGTGCCCTTTTGTACCACTAATATGGTTGCGTAATCATAGTTTCTCATTGACTAATCAAGTATATTGCATAGTAAACATTATTATCTAGGGTAGGCCACATCATGTTACTATGGATGCTTGAGTTTAATCAATTAATCAAAAACTAAATATCAGTAGTTATATATATATTGGTAAAAGGTGGGAGGTATAAAAATAAACTTGACTTACAAAATGAGTATTTTACACTATTAATCATTGATGGTGAATGGTTGACATTTACAGTTTATTCTTTGAAGAAATAAACGACGTGAAATGATTTCATAAGGAATTGATGTAAATTTACTGACTATTAGTATATTTAGAACAACATATATAAGCGAACAATATTGTTTTCGATTAGATCCTCATCAGGCTTAACTCTAATATACAGTAATGTTTATATGTATATACGAAATTATTAAACCAATCAAGGTAGTTTATAAGTCAATGATGATAACAATGGAAAAGATTACATAATAAGTAAAATGTGAAAAGTACAAGTTGATGGTGTGACAACAGGTGCATTAGTTTTGATAAGCAATAATAATAAAGGTTCAAATCAATGTTACATAATCTGAAATAGGTCAATGATTAGAAAAATATAGAAACTGAGATAACAATTATAAAATTATAAGATGATGTAATAAGAAATGTTCAGATAATTGGACCATGAAACGTATAGTTGAGAGAAAATAAAGTGGTAGGAGGGTGTGAAGAAAAATAATAAACGAAGAGAAAGTTAGAAAAGGAATAAATAAATAAAGATTCCCGTCATATTAAAAGACTAGTAGTTGAACGAAGAATATTCTTTTCGATAAATTCTCTTCAGGTTCTACAATTCATCTATCCAAATGAATAATCCGAAAAAAATGGCCAGGTTAAGGGCAAAGTACATCGTTTAGAGCATGTGAATTTAGGATTGTGATAAACAAAATACAATAAAATTGTTAATGTTGATATGACTTATATAGAATGTTAACTTGAATCAGCTTATATGTTAACTAAAAATTTTTTTAAGATCCATGGTCAAAATAAATATGGGTCAAATAGGGTGAGAGAGGAATAATAGTGCAATTACAATTCGATCAAATAAGTAAGACGTAATACGGAGGGGTGAATGCGAAATGAATGAATCATGTATAGTGGAGATTAATGATGTTTAACCAATAGTATGAATAATAATAATAATAATAATAATAATAATAACACAAAGATTTATGAATAAGGAAAACAGGGACAATTACAATTGACTACGAAAGGTCATAGTCAAATTAGTTCATTCAATAGTTAAGATTACGATTGATTAATTGGCCTTGATGTAGGCCAGGGGAGGAGGAGTGGTTGAAATAATAATAAGTGGTTGAAGAAATATATTGTATTATACATGTAGGACGAAACCAGTGTCCTGGATTCCGCTGCTACCTATCATCTATCTTTGCTTATAATGCTTGTGACTTGAGGTAATACCGAGTCATTACCCACAGAATGCACATATCCCAATAAAAGACTGATCAATCGCAGTCTCAAACATCAGTCGGAAGATTCAAACAAACAATATAAAATGAATCTATATAATTCTTCAGTCAGTCAATCATTCTGTCAGTCAGTTAGTCAGTAACAACGTAGAACTTCGTACGTACCTACATCAGTTCGAGTTGCCACATCACATTATCACAGAGATGCAGTTGACGATTCAAATCCCGTAGTGGTAGAGGTAATAAGAGTATAAGCAGTAATCGGAAACACTAGGGTTTGAAAATATTATTCAAGGAGTATAATACAGTGAAAAAAATTTGAAAAGAAAATAAGGGACATGAAGAATTCAGAAGATTAGAATTCGGGAGAACACAAAGAGTGTATGCACCTGCGCCATTGCAAACGATTTCGAGCCATGTCATTCAGGGTCTCTAACCATCGGTGGCTATCATCTCGCGGTCCCCAACCAGGTAGTCTACACCTACCGACATAACTCACACCACTTGTCAGTGACTTCATGGACTTGTGCCATGTTTTGGTCCGACCGCACCTAGCTTTCTTCCAACCTACTCCTATACAACAAAACATCGCACATCGAGGCAGTCGGTGGTTGTGCATACGTAACACGTGTCTCAGCCATCTCAAATGATGAAGTTTCACTACTTCATCTATTGATTTGCCATCCTTACCTAGTACCCGTTTCCTAACAACTGCATTACATACTCGGTGGTCTCAGGATATACGAACAATGCTTCGAAGACATCTATTATCGAATACTAGTAACCTACGGATATCCTCCACTCATACCGGCCATGTTTCACTGCCATACATATATAATTCTTAGTTATATCGTATGATAAATGCATAGAATCGTCACATTGTTTATTCAACCGATGTCTTATTTAACTGTACCCTGTGATATTTTGCCACTAGTATTTAAGAAGAATGAGTGAAATAGTTTATTTATATACATAGAGGAAGTTAACGATGATACTTTACTTATTAGTCATGTTCCATAAGTACCAATTAAGAAGCATTGCAAATTTTTAAGGAGATGGCTATTGAAGAGCTGGGGAATGTGTTAGTTGCATATTATTTAGTTCATTATAACTGAAACTTTGAAGGAAAGTCAACAGTAAAACAAGGATTTGGATATTAGATATTATTAAAGGAATAATACAAAACATAATGAAGGTATAGTAATGGGAAGATGTGCATGTGTTTGCTATTTCATTATTTTCAACACAGTCGAAGTTAGATCGGCGAGACTCTAATTTATGGACGCCTCTTGAACGAATCTTAAGTGACATTGAGAAATATTAGTGCAATCAGCAAACAGTGAGTATAGAGTAAAAATATTTTATACAAAACCAAAGAAATAAAGTGGATACTCTTCTTATACATGGTTCGAAAACTAATCAAGATTAGAAAGAGGTTCAGAGGTTCTAAAATTGTAATGCATGCAGTAGAGGAAATCATCCATACGGCTATAGAATAGTCGGCATCTGGATCCATGATAAAGCCTCAAAAACTATTTCAGCCTCGATCACATAACATCAATATTGTTTATGTACAATCCGGTTGTTGCGTACACAAAATGCTACTTGTGGATAACAACACGATGCACATAATCAAGCCTATGTAGGAGTCTGTACGCTGTCCAAACATCTGTATATATTGTAGTACCTGGCTGCAGCCAGTGTTACTGGTGCTTTTATTATCCAGTTTGCAATAATTGTCGTAATTTGCCTTAATTAGGAATTATATATAGGGCTTTCATCACGAACTGACATCACCTATAATGCCAGAAATTTGTTTAGCCAAATGGATGAAAGGCTTTCGCATTAAAATCCGAGATCTATTATCTTATGCCTGATTGATTCATTCACAAATTATATTCTCGCCGTTTTACTTGTTATAGCCACTCAATTATCACGTTTTGTACAAAATTCGTTGTGAACCGATCGATTTATCTTAACCCCTTCTTTTGTTTTTAAAATAGGCCAGTACCATCTTGATCTGTAACGAAAATCAAAGGATAACTTTTAAGAAGCATATTGAAGCCATTTGGAAAACATCTTGGTACTAAGCTCAACATCGACGATAGTGTTCTGTTCCATCGTCACTATTAAATGTTCAGTAATATTATACTACTTACAAATGTTTAGTAGCTCAAAGTAATAAATCAAATTTCTGAACAGTGAGAACATGGATTAATTTTAAGACTTTTTGTTAACTGACTAAAATGTGCAAGATTAGAATCGTTTTGATAAACTTTAGTTAATGACATCTTATTCTCAGGCGATATCTGGTACATTTTTGAATTTACCAGCAGTGATCCAGGTTTTCAATGGTGGTCTAGCTTAAATCGACTCGGGAATTCAACTATTAATATTACTACAATCTCCACAAATCCCCATTCTATTAACAGTAAGAAGCTATGACTAGGGAAGTTCAACCGTG